CCTGGGATGAGTAAAACACAGCCTAATTTTCATTTTTGGGTGAACTAACCCTTTAACCTCCTTCCTGAAACGGGCACCTGGTGATGCCTCGTTAATCATGAACCATAGTAACAAACAAGAAACTGGAACAAAGGAACACAGGTAATAGAAACAAATGAAAACGAAATAAAACAGGCAGCTCCTGACAACAATACTACAGTACGAAAGAGCATTAATTAATTAAAAGTGTGCAGGAGACAGACTGGAGCTTTAAATGTTTTAAAGGGGTCATATGATGCGATTTAAATTGTTCCTTTCTCTTTGGAGTGTTACAAGCTTTTGGTGCATAAAGAAGATCTGTAAAGTTGCAAACACTAAAGTCTCAAACTTAACACAGAGCTGAGGAAACACTGAACAACTGCTCTGTGATCAGACAAAACTCTCAAGAAACCACATCTGTGCTCTAGATCAGCACAACATACACATCAACTGAACTTTACTGAAGTGGACTGATAATATGAGACAATCAGCAGCCATTGACCTTGAGAAATATTTAATAATTCAAAACATTGTAGAAATACAAACTCCCCAAACTCCAGTGCTGCAAACATGATGATAATGTTATTGGTTCATTTACATGATTGAAATTTGCTTACAGCTAGGATTAGTTTTGAAGGGGTCATATGATGCGATTTCAATTGTTCCTTTCTCTTTGGAGTGTTACAAGCTCTTGGTGCATAAAGAAGATCTGTAAAGTTGCAAAGACTAAAGTCTCAAATCCAAAGAGATATTCTTTATAAAAGTTAAGAGTCAGCCACGCCTACCTAAAACGGCTCGTTCTAACACGCCCCACATGTCTACGTCACGATGTGGGAAGATTTGCATAACGCCGCCCAAATGTTCACACAAATTTAAACCGCATAAACACATTTCATTACACCAAATATACAAAAAAATTTATTTTTAGCAACATCATATGACCCCTTTAAATCACAAATAAGCATCACATATATACAAAGTAAAAACGTTTTGACACACTAAAACACACCCTGCATATATTTACAGCTATTTACAAAAAAAAACAAAACAAACAAAAAACACATACAAAATACAGAGCTCTCAGTGCAAAACCACTGATATTAACAGTGAGTAACATCAGTACACTGAACTCAGCGGATCAGTGTAGAAACACATGAGATTCTGATCAAACATCAGTGAGTTATTGTTTGATTGTTTGGTGCTTTTCACAATCCACGTGTCGTCTCAAAGCAGCTTTGCAGGAGATTGTGCCTCAAGATCACTCTGTAATAATCTCTCTCATGTTTGAGACCGCACTGAATCAGGCTGATTCTGCTCCTGGTCTCCAGTATTCAGAGGACGCATCTCTTGTGTGTCTCCTGGGCTCTGGTTCTGCTGTGATCTTTTGACTCGTATAGATCTCACTTTGTTCTGCGTTTAGGACAAGACACGTCATTTAAACAAGTAACATCCTCATACTTTTGGATAACTATCTAGCATGAAGTAAAGTCTCCTGATGTTGCAGGTCAGTTTTACTCTCAAATCAATGCAGTTTTATGAACAACACTAACCTGACAAGACTTCAGACAGCTTGCGATCTCTGTGAGGTCAGAACAGAGAGAAAGACATTAGTGAATCTGTTTGAATCACATCGCTCTCAGAACTAGTCCTTCACTCAGACCTTCACAATGACTTATAACACTTTAAACCAAAGCTGCCACACAGCAGTTATTAAAACTATAAGTCATCGTGCAGGTCTGAGTGAAGGACTAGTTCTGAGAGCGATGTGATTCAAACAGATTCACTAATGTCTTTCTCTCTGTTCTGACCTCACAGAGATCGCAAGCTGTCTGAAGTCTTGTCAGGTTAGTGTTGTTCATAAAACTGCATTGATTTGAGAGTAAAACTGACCTGCAACATCAGGAGACTTTACTTCATGCTAGATAGTTATCCAAAAGTATGAGGATGTTACTTGTTTAAATGACGTGTCTTGTCCTAAACGCAGAACAAAGTGAGATCTATACGAGTCAAAAGATCACAGCAGAACCAGAGCCCAGGAGACACACAAGAGATGCGTCCTCTGAATACTGGAGACCAGGAGCAGAATCAGCCTGATTCAGTGCGGTCTCAAACATGAGAGAGATTATTACAGAGTGATCTTGAGGCACAATCTCCTGCAAAGCTGCTTTGAGACGACATCATAACGAACATCAGTCTCAGTCAATAATGAGAGTTATAATGATCACAGATGATTATGAATATGAACTCACCTCCTCTAGCAGCTCCAAACGTGTAGAAGAGGAGGATGAATTGTAAAGTAGGCAGAAATTGAAAGGTCATATCAGCCACAATATCAAAGATTTTAACTATCCGGCCACTTTTCTTCCCAACCTCTGTAACTAAAACTAGAAGAAACAGTTTTGATCATTAAGATCTGATTCGATTCAGTTTTAAATCATTATAATGGCAGATACAATTTACAGTAACAAACAATAAAATCAACAACAGAAGCAGATGAACTGAATGAATCAATGTGACTGTGAGAGTTTTTATACAAATATATATATATATCAATAAATATAATGAAGTTATTCAGTAACCTTCCAAAAAGGTTCTTAATTTTTCTAGTAAAAACTATACAGTATAATATTTAATAAAAACATCGACATGTACTATTTCTACTAATACTCTGAAGTGCAGTATCAGATCTGAAGAATAAAGTATGTTTGTGTTTTAATTATTAAACTAAAGTGATGACGGGCGTGCAGATCAGTGTGAATCAGACGCAGTTTCAGTGATTCTCTGGCACTTACGGCAAGGAATCACACAGAAATACTTACTGTAGATGATTTTGCAGAGGCAGCACACAAACACTATTGCAAACAGCACTATTACCACGACTTTATTAAATACAGCATAGTTTAGAAACTTTTCCCAAGCACTTGCGAAAAGAGCTGGAAGAAAAGAAGAGATAAAAATGATCACTTATAAGCTCAATCAAACTGTAAATACTGTACATGACAGAAGAATACACAACACTCTTCACTTGACTGATGCTTTTATGTAAATCATCTTGCTTTGCTGTGATTTACTCTGACAGTCTTTCTGTTATGATCTGAGCTTCAGTCTGTTTCTAATACTGACAATTACACAATCATATGGAGTCATGTAATTTAATTTAATGCAGATTTCGTTCATAACGAGCTGTAGATCAGAGTGTATTTAATAAGATCATAAAAGTGTTTCAGTCCTATAAACATACAGAGATTCACTGAACACACGTACTAACACAAATCATGCTTCATGTATGAGCTGCTTAATGTTTCTGCATGTGTTATGATTCGTGTAATACTGACATTTGTATTTGTTTACCTGAATAAACAACAACCGAGAAAACAGCATATTCCGCCACATAACTGTATTTCTGAATCCATGTTTTAATCTTGTCTGTAAAACAGAAAAGACAATATTTACAGTCACAATGTCATATAAACACCAACACGATGAAACACAAATGACACTATTTAATGTTTGGTTAAATCCCTCACACAAAGATTATATCAAATCCAAACATCTGCGTATTATGATTCATTTTCTCACCTCCACTAATAAACTGAGCAAATTAATCATACCTGAAAACCTATTTTTAATAAATGGAGCCGCCCAGAGCAACAGGAGAGGCCTCAGAAAATAAAGAGCACAGCAACAAACCGACTCACTCACAGATCCTGAAACAAACCCAGATATTAATCGTGAGAAGTCATTGATATACACTGATATCCATATACAAGTTTGTGAACGCTTTGAAATTTCTGCATTGATTAAATGTGGTCTGATCGCATTTTAACAAACACAATCTGATTAAACTAATAACACAAACAATTGAGTACTTTTCACATTTTATTGAATACATTGAGTAATCATTCACAGTTCAGGCTGGAGAAAGTAAGTGACCCCTTGAGTTTAGTGACTTGTAGATCCTCTTTAGCAGCAAAACCTCCACCAAACCTTTCCTGTAGCTGCTTATACATCCCTCTCAATAAATCTGTTTCAGTTGATCAATATTTCTGGGTTGTCTTGACAGTGCAGCCCTCTTTAGGTTATGCCACAGTAACCCTTGTGCACTGTTTGTTTGGGTGATTATTGGGTGAAAATTACAAAATGTAATTTTGTAACAAAATATAGACTTTTTTAAACAAATGTAAATTTAATAATTAATAATTTTAATTTTACAAAAATAATTAATGTTTTTACTCCATATTTGTGGAATTTTTGAAGGATTTCTGATATTTTTTTTAAATTTTTATAAATAAATTAAAAATATATTTTTTTAATTGTTTTTTATACAAAAACAGCTTTTTATGTAAAATTCTCTTTATAAAAGACCCACATTCCTAATTTTAATTCATGGGGATAACATGGCCTATGTGCCATAGATTAATGCCAAATTGTTTCCATCTATTTGAAAATAAACAAACTTGTTACTCAAACTTTTTTAAGTGTAAAAAAATCAACACTTTTAAAGTCCCCATGAAATCAAAATTAAAGTTTTTTGGGTGTTAGTAATATCAATATGTTAGTCTTAAGGTTATCATGTACGGCAGTGTGCTCCAAAACAGTGACAAAATTCGCATTTAGAAGATATAAGCATTCAAAGCTTGCAGTTCGTCACTTCCGCCAAAACGGCTCAACGATTTTTGTGACGTCACATCGTACTTCAGCTTCTCGTCAAACTTTCTGTCCAATCAAATGCTCTCTA